CCCCCCCTGCTCCGACACCTGACTTACGCCCCTGTCTATCCCCCACTTTATAACAATATTTACTTCCATATTGACAAAGTGTCATTGTAAATAATATCAGATAGACGTCAGTTTTTTAATTACCTAAACTAGTTCGTTTAAAAATAAAACAAAAATATTCAGTATTTATAAGACTATACCGTGCAGTCGAAAGACTGATGAAATACTTCTAGAAATTGCCGACGTATCATTATAACAATCATTTATGAATAACAACCATAAATTTTTTAATTCTATTCAAATAAGCAATTAAAAAAAGTTGCTTCATGTGATGTATAGGTAACGAATTGCATTTAGATAATAATAAAAAATGAATAAAGATGAGAAAGATTTTTATTGTTATTTCATCATCTACAGGTGATTTCTTACCTATACATCAGAAAAGGCAAATTTTTCTTGTCTCTTATTTGGATAGAAAAATGGAATAATTCATGGTTTTTATTGATGAATCCTTGTTACAATGACACATCAGCAATTTCTAAAAATATTTTTCCCGTCTCTCGACTGCGCGCTATGGTCTTATAAATACTGTATATTTTTCTTTTGCTTTTAAACGAACTGGTTTTTATAATGAAAAACTTACACCTATTCGATATTATTTACAATGACAAGTTATTCTAATAGAAGTCTATATGGTGGCTGTGAGTGTTGGTATTACTCTAAATTCACTCACCCACACCCACCCAAACTAAGATCCAAACCAAGACACACACTCACACCCACATCTATACTCTGATCCTTAGAATACGATTATTAGTTGAAAGAAGTAATTAAGATCAACAAATCTATAGATTAAATCGAACACTGTTACGTAACTGAATATGAATAGAAGGTATTTATTAGGTATAAACTTCATCAATAAAATTTTAATAAAAAACGAAAATACGACTAAAGAATAGAAATAATTCTTTTGAGAAAAATGCTCATTAGAGAAGATCATCACAGAAAGCGACAAGTTTCGTTCTTTTTGTCATGTTTTCAAAATATAACTTGGAAATGCAGCGTTGAAAAACAGGTTTTTTTAACAAATATCATCGAAAATAAAATGGTTCATCATTCTATAAGTTATCAACTAACCAAAAGATTTCACCGATTTAACCAGACACCTTTTTAAATTCTTCTTTCTCTAAATTATTTTTGTATTTGTTGTCTTTTTACTTTGTCACGTATAATATCGAGTTGTTTGAGATATATATTATTGATTAAAATTAGTTTCATTGCGTAAGCATAACTATAAAAACACCCAACGTCAATAAAATACTGATTCACATTCTCACTCGTCTCTTTTTACTTTAAATAACAAAAACTCTATTTTCTTTTTCATTTATTTAGTCATAACTAAGTAGTAGTTTTTCCACAATATACCTTGTTTCTTTTATATGAACATTTGATCTGCTCTTTATCGAGACTATCATCTGTTTTATAAAATTATGAACATAATAAGAACAAAAAATATATCCACTTTCTAAAATACAACAATTAAGCTGATCAAACTATTTGACAAAAAGAGTGTAGTTGGTAAAAATAGATTTGTTTGAACATATTACTGAATTATAGATTTCTGATATTCACTTTAAAACGATTATTCATACGTTATCATCCGAATGCATGTGATTGGGAACAATGAATGGTTATAATATTCTTCACATCTGTATTTATATCCACTGAGTTGTAGAAATAATGATCTATCTTTGATCAATCATGGCTTTTTATCAACAATCGCCATACAATATTACTTTGAGATATTACCGCAACTCATATATTATTTGGTGAATGTTAATTTATTAAGAAATGTGAATGATTAAATAGTTTGATTATATAAAAAATATTTATGATTCAGTTCAAAAACAAAATTGTTATTCTGTCTATATCGTTTAATAAAGTTCAGCACTGTTGAGTTCACCAGGACCACTGTTGCCTCCACCAGCAACTAATACTTTTCCATTTGTTAATATGGATACTGTGTGAGATTCTCGGGCGGCGTTCATGTTTGCTGTAGATGTCCAAGTACCTGTTGATGGATTGTACAATTCAGCACTATTGAAATAATTACCACCACTGTTATATCCACCAGTAACTAATACTAATCCATTTGCTAATGTGGATGCTGTGTGATAATATCGTGCGACACTCATGCTTCCTGTAGTTGTCCAAGTGCCTGTTAATGGATTGTACAATTCAGCACTATTCACAGTAGTAGCACCACTGTTTCCACCAGTAACTAATACTAATCCATTGACTAATATGGATGCTGTTTGATATTGTCGTGCGGCATTCATGCTTCCTGTAGTTGTCCAAGTGCCTGCTAATGGATTGTACAATTCAGCACTATTCAGAGAAACACTACCACTACTTCCACCAGCAACTAATATTGATCCATTTGCTAATGTGGTTGCTGTGTGATAATATCGTGCAGTATTCATACTTCCTGTAGCTATCCAAGTACCTGTTGATGGATTGTACAATTCAGCACTATTCAAAGCAGTGCTACTACCCAACAATCCAGCAGTAGCTAATACTTTTCCATTTGCTAATATAGATGCTGTGTGAAAACATCGTGCGGCATTCATGTTTCCTGTAGTTGTCCAGTTACCTGTTGATGGGTTATACAATTCAGCACTATTTATAGAGCCACCGGCATTTCCACCAGTAACTAATACTGATCCATTTGCTAACATGGATGCTATGTGATATTGTCGTGCGACACTCATGCTTCCTGTAGTTGTCCAAGTGCCTGTTAATGGATTGTACAATTCAGCACTAGTGATAATACCATTGTAATATCCAGCTGCAACTAATACTGATCCATTTGCTAATGTAGATGCCGTATGACTTTGTCGTCCGGTATTCATGCTTCCTGTGATTGTCCATTCTAGATAAAGCAGAAAAGTGAGTAAAAACTATTGTTCTTAAAATAACCTCGAATATCGCATGTGCATAAGTTGCCTATCTATTGATGACAGATTAATTGGTTTGAAATCTTCAATAAACTTCTCTTTGCTGTCATGGTTAAGATAAGGGTCATTATAAAATATTAAATCAAACTAATGAAAAATATGCTATAAACGACTTCATTAATATTTTACGAGTCCTATCGATATCGCAAACTGATGAAACTCGAACACCATCGTACAATTCAGTTATGATGAATATAGATCAAATTTTAGAATTTGATTGAAAGTCATTCTACAGTATTCAACATGATGGAAACAAGATGCACTTTCACCATGTTGGATGGGCGGTGTATGTATGTATCAGGATCAGTGAGGCCAACTGTTATAGTCAGAAAACCGGAATTCTAATGTGAAAATCCAGAAAATTCCGGAAACATTTTTTGTTAAATCCTGATAGGTTTTTAACAGTTAGTTTCTATCGGCTAAAATAAATTTCTCTAAATCTCGTTTTCAATTACACCACTTACTATTTCAAGAAATACATGTTTCAATATATCAAAAGAAAATCAACGTCAAAATTCAAAATATAATAAACTAAATATATAAGTATAAGCCACTGAGCCGCTGTCAAATAAAATTTTTTTTGAATATTAACAAATAAATAAAATTCAACTCAATAAAAATCATCTGAAATTCAGAGAAATCTGGAATTTTTCTGGAAAAACCGGAAGAGTTGGCAACGCTGATCAGGATATAGGTAAGAATGAACGTTAATGAGGATTAGACTGTAAGTAAGAGAATATAATTGTCGTATCGTTCTCATGAGAAAACCAGTACACTAAGGGCTAACTAATGATGAAAGGCGTTTTTCTTGAGTTTGAAGTTTTCGGTTTATACTACTACAATATTTGTTTGAACTACTCAACTCTATACAAATGCGACCTAAAACATGAGATTATCTATTGACAGACATGTTTCATGTCGGTATTATCCTAACTAGTATTTCCACATGCAGAAATATTCTTCGATCATCTTGAGAGTGGGTAAGTGTGACTAATTACTAAAATGATCAATGAGTTCGATCGCATGACAATCTTTTTATCAACGATATTTTCATCTAATACTGTTGCACAGGACAAGAATTTTCAACACTTAAATGAGTGTAAATCTATTTAAGTCATAAAAAAATTGGCCCTATTTCGACTTATGATAGGAAATGTTTCCTAATGTTGTGTATCTATATGACGATGATTCAATAGCTAAAATCAAAACTTCTAGGTATCGTTATTTCTAGTAATCATCGTTTGAGCAACTACAAATGATTTAATATAGTACTAACGCGGTATTGCTGTTGTTGCTGTTGTTGATGATGTTGATGACGTTGTTGTGGATGTTGTTGTTGACGCTGTGGTGGATGTTGATGTTGTTGAAGATGTTGTTGACGTTGTTGTTGATGTTGTTACGGATGTTGTTGATGTTGTTGTTGATGTTGTTGAAGTTGTTGTGGACGTTGATGATGTTGATGTTGTTGATGTTGATGTTGAAGTTGTTGTTGATGTTGTGGTGGATGTTGTTGT